TCAAAAGTTGAAAAAGGTTTCATTTATTTATGTATAAAGAAAAAACTAACATGGTCATGTAGGTAGACCAAACGGCTATATAGATAGTATACTTACTAGTATTACTAAGCAGCCCTAATTAATTACTCTTAGATAAAACATGGTGCAAGTCTGATCAAGAAATCCATTGATGGAGGCGCACCTATACATTTCGCCGCATCCAGAGGTGCAACTGAAGTAATTGGCTTATTACTTGATAGCGCTAATAATAAACGTAGAAAGTACATTGACCAGATCAACGATAGAGATAATGAACGACGAACACCCTTACATCGAGCGGCACAAGGTGGATATAAACAGGTTTGTAGCATCCGTGATTTAAATAGTCGATGCGTAATTCTTTATCGCTCAGGTATGAGCATATAAGCAATTACTAATTAGTATACATTGTAATTTAAACCAAATTAGGCGGTAGAAATGTGTGTTCGCAATGGAGCAGATATCACAGCAATTCAGGTTGTCTGAATCATATTTTTAAATTTACCTTTTTTAATATTAGCTAGCAGCCTAGCACTATCTATCGATAATGCATGTATCTTATTTATCATTTTTCATCGTAAATATGACGTTTTAATATACTAAAAATTTATCATGATTGCCCAAAATTGGTACAGAGAGATGGACTAACAGCATTGCATATAGCAGCTTCAAACGGCTATCCTGATGTCGTGGAAGCCCTGATACAACATCACGCCCCTGTGGATGCTCGTGACTTTCAATACCGGACACCGTTACATTTAGCGGCATCGTTTGGACACACCGCAGTAATGATCATATTGATGCAATCTGTAAGCATAGAAAAATCAGTATGTTTCCAGAATATCGTAGATGTTGTTATGTATGTAAGAATACAGCGACTTGTTGTACTGCACCTAACGTGTTAGCATAAGATAAGGTAATGAATTACTAAGATAAGGGTATAATACGCCATTACAGCTATACTATTTAAATGCAGTAAATCCTAAATAAAAGGGACTTTTTCAGTAAGCTTACTAGTAGGAGTGTATCAAAGTTCCTCGTGTTAACGTTAACGACTAAGAGTGGAAACACAACGGATGTAACATGCATATATATAAATAATTTATAGATAGATAGATATTTTATTTATACTAACTATCATGATTTATCGATCTCTCTACGTAGGGAGCGGATATAAATAGTACGGACAGTAGAAGAAGAACTCCTTTACTGTTTGCCGTTGAGAAAGGCCACTTAGAAGCTGCTAAGTTCTTATTACAATATCACGCCAAAGTTGACATATATGATGACCAGAACAAATCATGCTTGCACATGGCAGCAGAATGTTGTCATCATGAAGTTCTAACATTTTTACTTAACGTAATATTAGTATTATATATGCAATCCTTTCTATTTCGAGATAGATACAGTAAATCTATGAATATATCTACTTACAGGAAGGGGGAAAAATTTTTATAAATGAAGTCGATACATACGACAGAACTCCACTTCATTATGCTGCAG